AATAATAATAGATCGAGAAAGTTCGCACGGTTTAGATTTTTGTAAAGGATAAGTAAAGGGAATAAATAAATAAAGATTATTTTTTTAAAAAGTAAAATAAGATGAAATGACAATTTAAAAAAATCGGATAAATAAGATAAGAGAAATGAGAGAGCAAGAGGTCAGCGTCATTTCGATAGAGGTTGCAGAGGGATGCTGAGTGTAGAATCGAGAGAGAGAGTGATGACGGCAGAAGAGATGTAGGTAGAGAAGATGAGAATGAGTAGACGAGAGTATGGTGGCAGAGTGAGTAGATGGAGGTGAGTAGGTGATGTGGTGTTTATTTGGTATGGGTAGAAGTTTATCAGACTTTCTTTGGCAGAATCTGTGGTAGAGTTTATGAGCTGTTTGATGATGTTTGCTAAGAAAGTAGATCTGCACGCATAATGAAATGAAGTATGATGTTTTCTAACAAGATGCAAAAGAGATATTTTATAGGAAGGACAGAGCAGATGAGACAGATGGAAGAAAAGAGGAGAACAAAGAGAGGAGCGAGAAGAGACGGGGAAAATGGAGAGATGAGAGCGAACAGGGACGAGAGAAAAATAGAGACAGAGGAGAGCATAAGGACAGTGAAAAAGATGTGTAGAGATGAGAGAACGAGATAAGAGGAACAGAAAAAGGGAACAGAGACGAAGAGAGAAATTGATGGAGACAAAGAATCACACAAGAAAGGGAAGAAGAGATGGAGAAGAGGAGAAAGAGAAGGAACGACGAGAGTAGCATGATTGACAAAGGAACATGAGAGAAACATAGGTGAGAATCAAGAAAGAGACGCTCGAAGACCACGACACGCAAGACCGGAATGTAAGATGATCAGAGACAGAGAGGAAAGATGTGAGATGGAGAGGTAAGAAGAAGAGAGAAGGAAGAAAGGAGAAGACAGAGCACACAGGACAGACGCAGACAAAGACAGACAGACAGAACACAGAGACAAAATAAAATGCATAGTACTTAACTAGAACTAGAGATGATAAGACAAACGCAACGAGAGACACAAGAGAGACGAGACGCAGAACGCAAACAGGAGAGCTAGAATCAGAGACAGCAACAGAAACAGAGACAGAGACAGTAAAGAGAGAGACGAGTACGTACGAAGAGAGGAGACGATGAGAGATACGAGAGATGATGAGAGTCAGAGAAGAGTAAGTCGTAGAGAGTCTAAGTATAAGAGATCGAGAGATAAGTAGCAGAGATAGTACTGTCTATCTGGACCTAGAGACAGAAACAGACAGACAGGAGAGGTACGAACAGAAGGCATCTAGCCCCTTTCTGCCACTCTCTCTACGTGTAACGAGTCACTGAGATGTTTGTACAAAGAGATACGCAGACCAGTCTGTTAGTCGCAGAGACACGGGCACATGGAGCATGAGACGCATCTGCATGTACTCATGAATCCAGAGAGAGGAGGGAGAAGGAAGAGAGAGAGAGAGAGAAGAAGCGAGGTAAAGAGAGAGAGGAGAGAGAGAGAGAGGGGAGGGAAAGGAGAGGGAAAGGAGGAAGAGGAGAGAGGAGGAGAGAGGAAGGGAAGAGGAAGGAGGAGAGAGATGGAGGGAGGGAAGAGTCGGGAGCAGGGGAACAGGGAAAGGCAGAGAGAGAGGAACAGGAGAGCAGAAGACAGAAAACAGGGAGAGGAGAGAGAAAAGGAGAGAGAAGGAGGACGAGGAAGGGAGAAGGAAGAGGAAGAGAAGAAGAAAGAGAAGAAAGGAGGAGAGAGGAGGGAGAGAGGGAAGGAGAGGAGACGGAGAGAGAGAAGGAGCGGAAGGGAGGAGGGAGTGGAGAGAGAGAGGAAGAGGAGGAGAGGAAGAGGAGAGAAGGAGGAAAGAGAGAGAGCTCGAGGTGGAGGAAGGAAGGAGGGATTGGTGAGGGACAAGAACAACAGAGAGAGGAGAGGAGGGAGCTAGGGAGCAAGAGGAAGCGGAACGCAGAGAAAGGGAAGGAGGAAGGAAGAGTGTTAGAGGAAAGGACGAGGGTGAAGAGAGAAGAGAGAAGAGAGGAGAAGAGGAGAGAGACTGGAGGAGTGGATGTTTGGTAGTGAACACGAAGGATAGAGAAGAGATAACGGATCAAGAGGTTAAGAGCAAGGATAGAGAGAGCAGGAGAAAGAAGGATAGGAACAACAGGAGACGAGGAGGAGGAAGGGGAGTGATGAGCACGCAAGATGACACACCGCACGTATTTAGAAACAAGAACAGAAAATATTTGATCATGAAAGAAAGACTACTCAACGCACAGGATTTTGAAAGATTGACAGAAATTAGTAGAAGCATGAGATGGAGACATGCATAGGACCAGGGGAAACAGTAAGACAACGTGTGGCATGGTAACAGCAACAGAAAAAGAGAAGAGAGAGAGAGAGAAGCGAGTTCCATGACGAACGAATGGATGGCTGCGTCATTTTCTCGTGCAATGTAAATGTAGCAGTTGACGTGAAATAAATACCGGTTGCAGATAAGCAAGAGGTTCTCATTGTTTTGAGAACTTTTGATCGGTAGGCATTTTCACCAGTCTCTGTTCAGCTCATTTTCTCTCTCCTCATTCACTCTCTTGGTATCTACTTGATATATGTCTCGCTGTAATCTATATTGCGAATTCTTTCACTAATTTTCATCATTATCGTTGTTATCTGTCATTTTACCATTTATTCTCTATAAAATTTCATCCCCGTCTCTTATGTCCTACTGCACATCCTGTCTTTGAAGTAGCAGAGAATAGGTGAAAGGGTCTGAAATGGTCATCGGTCAAGGTTCAGGGAGCAGAATGAATAGTATAGATCCTACGTATACAGTAGATATCGAGAGAGAGAAGAGAAGGCGGTGGAGTGGGAGGTTACGAGGGGAGAGGGAGGTGCAAGAATGCGAGAGAGGAGAGAGAGAGATGTACGCATGTCAGAGAAAGAGAGAGAGAGGAGAGAGAGACTAGAGAGAGAGAGAGAGAGAGAGAGAGAGAGAGAGATGGCATGAGAGATGCAGAGAGAGAGAGAGAGAGAGAGAGAGAGTAGGGAATGGAAAGCAGAAAGAAATGAATAGAGTTAACTATTTACCCTTGTATTGTTTCTTTTCTGGGGTTCTGCTTTTTGCTTTTTTGTTTTTAAGAGTACCGTTATCACTCGCACACATTGATACTTTGCACACCTTTTTATTCATTATCACTTTCCTAGCCTCGAGTGTGACTCGTAACTGACTGTTGCTGCTAACCTTAATTCTTTTCATTCCTTACTGGCTATTCTTATGATCATCATCGCCCTTACAAGGTCGATCCTCTCTCTCACTCGTCGATCCATATTTTTTAAATCTAAATTTCTATATAGTCAAAATTCATAGCTTAAATCTGTTTCTTGTCATTTTCCACTGGGTTCATTTTTTTCCCTCTCTGTTCTAACACTTCTGATAATTTCATGCTTTACACATTCCACTCTTCTCTCTCCATTTGGATAGTGACTGTCGCATAGATCGGAGGAGAGAGGTGGGTGTAGAGGAGCACGCAGATGACCGTATGTTGATGAGAGTAGAGATGCTTTCTATGAGTAACCGAGAGAGAGAGAGAGAGAGAGAGATGTATGAGTACGTAGAGATGTCATGAGTATGCATGATGACGCACGATATGATGAAGATATTGAAAGTTGAGAGATGAGAGAGAGATGAGTATGAGAGGTAGAGGAGACAGAGTGAGCGAGCAGTAGTAGAGCACGCTAGAGAGAGTCAGAGAAGAGAGAGAGAGAGAAGAGAGAGAGAGAGAGGAGAGATGATACATGTTGAGCTAAGAGTAGAAGAGAGAGTGTAGTGCACAGAGAGAGTGTACGATGAGAGAGAGAGGTAGGAGAGAGTATGTAGAACGAGGAGTCATGTTAGAAGTAGAGATGTAGACGGCACGTAGAGAGTACGAGAAATTGAAAGTGACGAGTGTGTAGTGAGAGATGCAGAGAGAGAGAGAGAGAGAGACAGAGAGAGAGTAGTATTTGAGCAGAGAGAGAGACGACGAGAGAGAGAGAGAGAGAGAGAGAGATGAGAGAAGTACGCAGAGAATTGAGACGAGATGAGAGCAGAGAGAGAGAAGAGAGACGAGAGAGAGATAGAGAGAAGAGAGAGAGATAGATGTAGAAGTTAATGGAGAGAGAATGAAAGTAGAAAGAAAAGAAAGGAATTTCACTTCTTTCTTTCATATCCGTCCTCTTTGCTACTTGTTTTTTTTCTTTTCTTCCTTTTTTGCTTTTTGTTTTTCTTTAAAGCAGTCAAGCGCTGTTATCTCTCTTACTATTATCTTGCAATTTCTAATCCTTTACACTCTTCTTCTATATCACACACCTTTTATAATGCTTTATGAACTGTACTGTTTTTCTCTAGCTCATAAATGTCTTTTTTTTTAGTCAACCCTCTTAATTTTTTCCCTATGGCTATTTCCTTATCATGTGTCCTAATTCAATGCACCATTGGTCTATACATCCACTGTCCATACATATTTATTTTTTTTTATTTCCTTAGGATTTATCTATATAAATTCACTTTCACTCTCTACAGGTGGTCCTCCTCGTCTATTTCCAACTCTCTTCTCTCTCACACTTCTATGTTTATTTCTGTTCATCTTCTTTCCTGGGTCCCTCTCTCAATACGTCAGGCGTGAGGCATGGAGTAGGATTAGGCTTACGGGATTTATACTCCTCTTGTCTGGTCTTGTTACTCTCTTTGGTTCCTGATCTCTCCTTCTCCTTCCTCTCCTCTGTCTCTCGTTATCCATAGAGTTGATATTCTTCAATCTCCTTTATTCCATCCATATGCATGTGTAGATGTACGATGCATGACTATATCCTCACGATACATTCTGGCCTTTCCAAATTCAGTGACTGATCGCACTGGTTCAACTCCGTTCTGCTCCATCGTGGTATTCTGTTCCATAACCTCTGGTTGAAATCGTGCTTTTTCGGCTCCATGGGTCTTGCGTTCGGCTAGTACTCGTCGCATTTCGGATCGCCCTCAGATTGATTCCGGTTCGGGCACTTTAATTTCAGGGATTAAGAGTATGACTCGTTTCACGTCGTCATCGAGAGTCACGAGAGAGAGAGAGCACGAGTAAGAGAGACTGCTAGAGAGAAGGAGAGAGAGATGAGAGAGAGAGAGAGAGAGAGAGAGAGAGAGACGAGACCGAGATGAGAGAGAGAGAGAGCAGAGAGACGCAATGAGTGAGGGCAGCAGAGAGGAGAGCACGAAGAGAGAGAGAGTGAGAGAGAGAGAGAGAGAGCAGAGAGTACGACGAGCGAGAGATGAGAGAGAGAGAGAGAGAGAGAGAGAGAGAGAGAGAGAGAGAGAGAGAGAGAGAAGAGAGAGAGAGAGAGAGAGAGAGAGAGAGAGAGAGAGAGAGAGAGAGAGAGAGAGAGAGAGAGAGAGAGAGAGGAGAGAGAGAGATAGAGAGAGAGAGAGAGAGAGAGAAATGAGAGAGAGAGAGAGAGAGAGAGAGAGAGAGAGAAGATAGAAGAGAGAGAGAGATGAGAGAGATGAGAGAGAGAGAGAGAGGAGAGAGAGAGAGAGAGAGAGAGAGAGAGAGAGAGACAGACAGAGATGAATTTGAATTTCAACTTCAATTTAATTTCTTTTCATCTGCTTATCTGTACTGCACATTGCTCCTAAATGTTATCAAGGTTTTATCATAACACCATAATTTTCGTTCATTTTATACAGTTTATTCTGTATCATTTCAGTGCTGTATATATGATTTAGAATGTCTCATTATTGCTGTTATTATCATTTTACATTTATTTGATATTTCTATCTTTATCATGCATAATTTCATATCACAGAAGTGTATTTTGTTTTCTGTATTTTCTCAATATTAGTATACGTGATATTATTAGTTTTTAACCGTTGCTTTGTCCCGGTTTGTTGTAAAGAAGTATAAATTCACTTCATTTATCATTCTCCTTTCACCTCTTCTTTAAAATCTCTCTTCCTGATCTCTGTATATTCGCAAGAACAAGAGAGTGTGGTGTGGAATTCATGTTGAACAAATTGTAACAGGAATAACGAAGGGAAGAACAAGGAAACACACGAATATACAGCATATTCGTGTTTTCTTGTTCTTCCCTTCGTTGTTCCTGTTGCTATAGGTTATACTGGCAGGTTAATTATGAAATGAATAAACTAAACTATATATCAGCTCTCTTAATTATTTTAAGGACTAAACTAAACTGATTTTCACCTCTAATTTCAACTCTCGTAATTATTTTAAGTACTAAAGCAAAATCCTATCCTACTCTCGTAGTTAGGAATAATCACAATAACGATGAAAAGAAAGAGAAAGAGAAAGTAAACTATACTAATTATATAAACTATACTAAAATATACTAATAAAAAATATAATAAACTCTCGTAATAATTTTAAGGACTAGACTAAACTCATTTCCAACTCTCGTAATTAGGCATAATCACAATAACGATAAAGAGAAAGAAAATGAAAGAAGTACAATAATTGAAGGCGCGACATGCGACACTCGGAATCACGTCCAGACAAGTCGTAGACACGTTAGTACACAAATAATTGAAAAAAATAGAATAAAAATAAAAAGAAGAAACAAAGGTAGTATGATCCAAGGTTTATAGATTATAGGAGAATCTGAGGACCTTATTAAAAGAAGAAGAAGAAGACAGAATAAGAAGAAAAAGAAAGAATAACTCTTGCATCATTTTGTCTTCTGTTTACTCGCAGATTTTTAACAAGTTCTGTCTTGCTTGTTCTTCATTCATGTTTTTGGTGGTTCTTCTGCTGCCTCGTCAGTGGTGTTCTGCTTGTTCTGCCGTCCAAGTGTGTGCTTTTCACTCATTTACCTGCCTGAAGATGAGCAGCAAGAGGAAAGGTTACGAGAGCACACAGAAGCCCAATGGAGATCTGTGCGAATTTTTGCTCGGTATGTACTAATGGGGTTTTGTTTTTTCAGTGGTATGGGCTGAGGATGCATGGTTTTTAAATGGCATGGACTAAGATGGGAAAGCCCTTTAAATTCTTATTTAATCATGGATGGTACTATAGAGTGTGAGTTCAACTATCAGGGTAGTTGCAGGCAAGAGGTCATGAAATTAATGGAAATTCCAAGTAACTTTTAATCCATTATTAAAAGAAAAGAACCTCAATCTTTATGGAATGGTTGCACTGAGGAAGGGGAAATTGAAGATGATATTCTTGTAGAGGAAAAAAAGTTGTAGTCAGCTCAAGAAATTATTTGCAGACAGGAACAATAACACCCACAAATAAAGGAAAAAAATTGCAGCAAGTTCCGCTCTCAGCCTAAGGCCACTAAGTCCTCCCAAGTTTCAGCTCTATCTTGCAGTGTATAAGGTAAAGAGAATGTGTCCCAGGGAGGGGTGTTAGGGGGTAGAGCTCCCCATCTCTCCCATGGGGGCATGCCCAGTCACTGCAATTTTGATTGTTATTTAAAGTTTGCGATGAAAAGTTGGGGACCTAGTCTTTGGTGAGTGCATCCATACTGTAAAGAATTACCAAAAATGAAAAGAAAAACTTATCAATAAAATACTTTGTAGTAGCATTATTATTAAGCTCCATACCTGTCAATGCTCCAGGAAAAGCCAGCGATTGTCCAACACCTTGATTCTTGGAGGATACAGGGGCAGTATTCATGAAAGGTCATAGACTCAGTAATGTCTTTAACAGAAAGAAATTCTTTGACTCAGAGATTTTGTCTGATTCTTTGCGAAAATATCCGTCATACCTGATTACACCTATGATTAGGCCAAAGTTTAGGACATGTCCAGAGGTCCGGACATGTCAGTTGCACTTCGCTTTCTTTCCATACTGGTACAACTTTAACTGTTTTCTAACTTGATGATGCATAACTAATTTGTTCATATGTTTCTGTGGCAGCGAGCATCTTCACTTCAATGTATTCCTGCAAGCTGATTTTTAATTTCAAATTTGACGTATTTTGAAGATAATTAGAAATGCAGGCAGTTGGGGAAAGATTTGTAATGGTTATTTTTTTAATTGAAAGTGGGATGCGTGTTTGATGATTAATTTTGTATTAAGTAATATTTATATTTGATAATTTCCTATTCAAATTTAAAAGATGAAGTATCATAGTTTTATTTTATTAATTTATTTATACATAGCTGGTTTAGTCGCATAGGAATCAGTTGCTTGGCTAATCTGAACTGAGCGGTTTATTCCATTTCTTGAATTTATGAAGGCCTATCTTGCCATCATTGATATAGGGGACAACAGTTTCACTTTATCAGAATGTAAGGTGTGAATGTCATGATGATTGTTTAATGTTTATTTTTATTATAGTTTTGCAGTGTTAATCTTATTGGCAGGGAGGTTTTAAGTGATGTATCATGGCACTTGCTATTGATTTAGTAAATTACAAAACATTCTCTGTGTTTATCATCAAATGTTTTTATTTATTTATCAATTTTCCAAACAGAACTGGCTGACTACGAACGAAATGTAAGTCGCAACATTCACAAATACAATGCTTATCGGAATGCTGCGGCAGCCCTAGGAGAGTATCCTACGCGCGTTAAAGATGGCAACGAGGCTAAAAAGATCAAAGGTATTGGCACGAAGATTGCGGACAAGATTGAAGAATTTCTGAATACAGGGAAATTAACGAAACTGGAGAAGGTATGGTGTTTTTTTTTTTTTATAGATAGATAGATAGATAAATATATAAGTAGCTAAAAGATAGATAGATAGATAGATAGATAGATAGAGATAAAAGATAGATAGATAGATAAATAGATAGATAGATAGATAGATAGATAGATAGATAGATAGACGATAGATAAATAGATAGAGATAGATAGATAAAAAGATAGATAGATAGATAAATAGATAGGTAGATAAAAAGATAGATAGATATAGATAGGTAGATAAAAAGATAGATAGATAGATAGATAGATAGATAGATAGGTAGATAAAAAGATAGATAGATAGATAAATAGATAGGTAGATTAGATATAGGATTTTTTTTCTTTTTTTCTCTTCTTTTCTCTCTTCAATCCTATCAGGTTTTGTTTTCTGTTGTGATAACTTCAATTTGAAATTAATGTTAGTGTATGTGTTGGAAAGTTAGTCTTCATCTTTTAATGTCTTACTGATATGCATGTCATTTTTTTGTGTTTGTATATTGTTATTACACATTTTTTTTCTTATATATATAAGATATTATAATGGTTTATTATGATAAATTCTATGGGCTTTTTTTTTTTACTCCCTTTCCCATTTCCTAACAGATTCGTGCGAGTGAGACCAACGTCGCTATCAACTTGCTTAATCGTGTGACGGGCATTGGACCAGCCAAAGCACGGGAGCTCGTCGATGATGGGATCCTTACCCTAGAGGACCTCAGGAAAAACCAAGACAAACTGAACCATCACCAGATTATCGGGCTGAAGTGGGTTGGAGAGTGTTTCTTCGTTGTGTTCTTGTTTTTTTTTCTTTCCTTTTTTTTCTCTTTCTTCTCCTCCTCCCATCCTCCTCCTCCTCTCCTCCTCCTCCTCCTCCTACCTCCCTCCTCCTCCTCCTCCTCCTCCTCCTCCTCCTCCTCCTCCTCCTCCTCCTCCACCCTCCCCCCTCCACCTCCACCTCCACCTCCACTCCTCCTCCGCCTCTCCTCCACCTCCTCCTCCTCCTCCTCCTCGCTCCTCCTCCTCCTCCTCCTCCTCTCCTCCTCCTCCTCCTCCTCCACCTCCTTCCACCTCCTCCAACTCCACCCCTCCCTCCACCTCCTCCTCCTCCTCCTCCTCCTCCTCTCCTCCCTCTCCTCCTCTCCTCCTCCTCCTCCTCCTCCCCTCTCTCCTCTCCTCCTCTCCTCCTCTCCTCCTCTCCTCCCTCTTCCTCCTCCTCCTCCTCCTCCTCCTCCTCCTCTTCTCCTCCTCCTCCCTTCCTCCTCCTCCTCCTCCTCCTCCTCCTCCTCCTCCTCTCCTCCTCCTCCTCCTCCCCTCCTCTCTCCTCTTTCTCCTCTTTTCCTCTTCTTCCTTCTTCTTCTTCTTCTTCTTCTTCTTCTTCCCTTCTTCTTCTTCTTCTTTTCTTCTTCTTCTTCTTCTTTCTCTTCTTCTTCTTCTTCTCTTCTTCTTCTTCTTCTTCTTCTTTCTTCTTCTTCTTCTCCTTCTCCTTCTCCTTCCCCTTCCTTCTTCTTCTTCTTCTCCTCCTCCTCCTCTCTCCTCCTCCTCCTCCTCCTCTCCTCCTCCCTCCTCCTCCTCCTCCTCCTCCTCCTCCTCCTCTCTCCTCCTCCTCTCCTCCTCCTTCCTCCTCCTCCTCCCTCTCCTCCTCCTCCTCCTCCTCCTCTCCTCCTCCTCTCCTCCTCCTCCTCCTCCTCCTCCTCCTCCTCTCCTCCTCTCCTCCTCCTCTTCCTCCTCCTCTTCCTCCTCTTCCTCCTCTTCTCCTCTTTCCTCCTCCTCCCTCTCCTCCTCCTCCTCCTCCTCCTCCTCCTCCTCCTCCTCCTCCTCCTCCTCCTCCTCCTCCTCCTCCTCCTCCTCCTCTCTCCTCCTCCCTCCACTGTTGTTATTGTTATTGCTGCTAGTACTAATACTGTTGTTTTTTCATAGTCTTTCAATGTTTCAAGATTGCAAATTCAAAAGGCGTTATGTCTAATGTATTTTTTTATTCTTAGGTATTTTGAAGATTTTGAAAAGCAAATACCAAGAGAAGAAATTGTAAGAATTGAAGCTTTCATAAGAAAGGAAATAAATGAGATTGACTCAGAGTACATCATTACAATCTGTGGGAGCTATCGGTAAGTGTTGACACTTGTAAACATCACGCTGCAATAGATAGATAGATAGATAGATAGATAGATAGATAGATAGATAGATAGATAGATAGATAGATAGATAGATAGATAGATAGATAGATAGATAGATAGATATACAGATATATCTGGATTTCTATATAGAAAGTGTAATGGTTGTAGTTCCATATTTTTAGTGGTCTTTTTTACTGCATTTTATACTTAAGTCTCTGTACAAATAAGTAAACTTACCGATTTAATAACTGAGCTTTCAGCAATCTGCAGTTTACCGCAACTGCTTAAATGCTTGAAAATTAGATGGTTAATGATTTTATAATTTGTACTTTCTAATGAACTTCTATAAGGAAGTTAAAATAAGCTATTTGATACATTAAGACATATTATATGAGTAAAGATAATTATAATGCAAACCATGTTGATATCTACAATACTGGGCAATTTTTCTTCTTGTAATAATATTAATGTAATGAAATATAAGTATAAAGAAAGATGTTATTAGAAGAAGCCTTAATTTGAAAAAGTTCCCTTTTTTTGTTGTTTGATTTAGAAAAGAGAATTACTCAAAGCCCTGTTTAGGTTTCGTGATTCTGCAAATATTATTTTCAATACATAGGGAATTTAATGAGTCGCTGAAAATGATTAAGTGTTATGTTTTACCCATGTTAAATCATCCACCCTATACTGCAGCCGAGGTGCTAAGAGCAGTGGTGACGTGGACGTTCTGCTGACTCACCCTGCCTACACCTCAGACACGCAGAAACGGCCAGATCTGCTGAAGAAAGTCGTGAATCAGCTTAAGGAGAGCCAGTTGATCACCGATACCTTGTCGTTAGGAGATATCAAGTTCATGGTGAGTTGTGTGTGTGTGTGTGTGTGTGTGTGTGTGTGTGTGTGTGTGTGTGTGTGTGTGTGTGTGTGTGTGTGTGTGTGTGTGTGTGTGTGTGTGTGTGTGTGTGTGTGTCTGTGTGTATTTGTATGTTGTGTGCGTTTGTTTGTTTGATTGTTTACTAGTTTGTGTGTTTGTTTGTTGTACATTTTACTGCAGTAGAATTTTTAGATTATTATTATTTTTTTATTTGGTTATATTCAGTTTTAGTGTATGTTCCTTTTATATAGATTTTTTTATGAAAGAAATTAGAAATAGGGAAATAGCAAATTCCAAAAAAAAAAGATAAAGCAAAATACATGTAGAGGTAAAGGGGAAGGAATAGTAACTCAAAACCATTGATTAGTAAAGTGGAAGAATTGAAATTTGGGATCATTAGAGACCCCATAAAATACCATTTACAGTGAAACACTTTCTTTTATTAATGATCCATCACAAATGTAGAAAAGCTATGAATGAGAATTAGTACAAGAGATGTATTTGACAGGATTTGAATATATCTTCAACAGAAATACATATCTTCAGACGGAGATACAACTGAAACCGGTCGAATACATCTTGTACTAAGGTGATATTCATATTCATAGCTTTTCTACCTTTGTCAACATGAATACTGTTAATCCATCACAACCCCATTCTTCCAGGGAGTGTGTCTGCTGGAGGAGGACCTCCCCCACAGACGTCTCGACATTCGGTTGTTGCCGCACGACCAGTACTTTTGTGGTATTCTGTACTTTACGGGTTCAGACATCTTCAACAAAAACATGCGGGCACATGCGCTAGAGCAGGGTTTCACACTGAACGAGTACTGCATTCGGCCCA